CCTTTACTGTGCATTACACAAAGTTTTTAGTGTCTTACATTCAGAATTTTATTGAACTACATTTTGTTTATGTTATACCAATTAGAAGAGCCTAAAATTTTAGCTAATAATACATAGTTTAATAGTAAATAAGTTTTACGTTCTTAATTTTATAAGGCAATATTTAAACAAATCTTGAAGTTCCCCTAGTGTGACACATTTTCTCTAGGCATCTTCTCTGTTTTATCCACCTCCCCTCCAGTAACTACGAAAGTAATTGTAAATTACTCACTTTAAAATCGTCATTGCTCAGAGAAACCATAATTTTTATTACCTTCAGTTTTGTTTGGGTACAGAGCTATCAAATAGAAAATCAGACCCCTCCTGCAACACTAACCAGTCACATCCTCTCTTTCAGGATTTGTTCATAGTTCTCTCTTATGTTTAATTATATATTATCTATAACCACTATAAAGTCAAGGTTTTCATCTATCAAATGATGTATTCTATTACATTGTCTTCTGAACACAGAATAGTCAATTTTACTTGTAATACAACTTTGGTTCCCACGGGAATCACAACAGACTAGCTTGGACGAATTTGTAACATCTCTTGTTGCATTGTTAGAAAGCCAGAAAAATTTTGCTTGTTAGAGGAAATTGTCTGCTTTTTGCATGTTATTATTCTATGTTCTTTGGTGCTTTCTTTAGTCAAATAAAGATTATTTAATGCACTACTACCATAGTGTAAAAAAAAGTAGGGTTAAGTGTCACTGATAGTCAACAGCAAAAGAAAAGAATACTCAGTTAAGTACTTTATGTCTTGTTTTTCATGTTGATTCTCTATTCATTATTTTAAAAGTAACTAAAATGTAAAAATAGAGATCTCTCTAAGTTAGTTAAGGTTAGATTAGGTAAAATAAACAATAATAATAATAGAAATATTTAATGAGGCACACATATGAGCAGCTCAGAGTAGCTCGTGGGTAATGTAATACAATAGCGTAACATGAGCTGCACATTCCCCAAGTGATTTACATCTTATAATAGCTCGATTAGTAGTTAGACACAGTTCAAAGGGCAATCAAACAATAAAATTTAATTGTAAATAGATGTATATTGTAACAAGTTTAAAGCTACTTAAAATAAATGAATGGAGTTTCAGACTACATATGAAGTCATTCTAGAAAGAAAAGGAGGGTAATTTATTTATTTTTTTTTGTGGTGGTGGTGGTGGTGGTTATGAGGTCAGTTAAATTGACTAACCTTGTATAGGATTAGGGTAGAGAAAATAACAGATAAAATATAATGTTTTACTGAAAACAAACATTTGAAATGTATTTAGGAGGTTTTAGAAATTACACTAGTGAAATTTGAGATTTTTGAGATGAAGAATTAGTATTTTTAATCGTAACATGAAAATCGCTTTGCACATGGACTATTCAAAACGAATACTCAAGGACAAATCTATTTTTAGTTTATTAAAAATACTTCACTAAAAAATATGATTTTTTGTATGTGAAAGACATGTAATGTTTACTGAAAGGCTGCCAAATTTCGTGAGGATATACACACTATATCAAAAGTTTTTTGTTTTTTTTTATTATTCCTGTAAATTCCCAGTGGAGCATAGGGCTGCAACAACACCTCCCAATGGAAGTTGTTGTTGCAGTTACTTGTAGCAGGTTGGTTTTTACGGGGTGGAGTTGCTAGCCCCGCACCCAACCCTCCTCCTTTCACATCCTGGACTTGGGACCAGGCAAAGGCGGAGGTTGGCATGTTTGGTGTGACGGGGATTCGAACCCGCGACCCTCAGATTACGAGTCGAGCACCCTAACCACCTGGCCATACCGGGTCATATCAAAAGTTAGTAGTATCAAATCTATAAAGACATTAAATGAGTACAAAGTGGTCACATGGTCGGTCAAATTGACTGAGCCCATTTGGAGAGAGTTAATATAGGACCAAAATATTTCTGCATTTTCTTTCGGTCAAAAAGCCATACATCAACATACCAGTATTTGCCTACCAGTGAAACTGCACCTTTTTTCTCACTTTACATTATGTGCTTTAAAATGCTTCAGAAATCTCCAAAATTTAGGATACAGTCTTGATTGCATTTAAAATGATTAAATAATAATAATAATGGGCATGTAGTTGGTGACAGCTTTTCAAAATAAGATATCATTTAACATTAACTTTACTTATTTAACTTACCTGCATAGTACCGTATGGAAACTCTCTGTACATGGGATTGGTCTGTTAGACTGATGCCATTTTGGAGAATTTTTATTCTAACTCTGAATTTACTGTGTGCATAAACTCATCATTTAATACTCAAAGTTTCAACATTAAATGAACCTTACTGTTTTACTTGTTCAACTTCAGTTTGAGTCTATTAATCATTAGACTTTACTTTATTTGCAATTCTTGTTCATTGTTGACCCTAGCAAAGATTTTCAATTGTTCTCTGTTTGTAGGTTCATTACATTCATTCAGTGCATGTTTTGTAATACTTGAAAATGACTTAATTTTATATTAGCATGTCCCTAGTGGTGGAATCATTATAAACATTTAGGACATATATATTAACATATCACATTAGAAGTTTTGAAGGTAATTATATGATATTTATACCTAAAAAGACGCACATCAGAATAGCATGTTTTTCAGTGTATGGAGAGGACTAAAGTAATTTTATGTTTTGTTACATTCCAGCTAGGTAGTGTAGAATAACTTGTTTAAATAGTTTTGAATTATTTGGTCTATAATACCTATTGGAAAGACATTTTTTTAGGAAGAATACTTTAATATTGTCTATCTCTTTATTATATAAATTGTATTTACTGGTTAACTTGTGTAGAGTTCCTTCAGTCCATAAAGATGGATGTCTTGTTTTGGCATAGACACATACAGTCATGAACTAGGTGGGTATTTGGTCATTAATTCACTGGCATATCTTAACTTCAAATCCTTTTTTTAACACATCTGATTTTTTGTAAATAACAGACTTTTACGTTTTACTAAAAGCTTTCCAATTCTTTTGTATTTTTAGAAAATCATTTGAAATACTATCTGTCTCTAGTTCAAGTAAAGTCCTAAAGTGCATAAATCACCCAAACAGTTTCTGCTACATTTGTTACAAATATCACAAGGTAAAGGTTTGCTTACTACCACAATTTTGGATGTAAAATTGGTGATCAAGAAAAACATTGTGCATTGTACACTTTACACATCTGGCTTGATACAGTGGTTGAATAAGAAGAGAGCAAGTACGTGGTTTACAGTTCCCATAATATGGTGGTAACCTAAAGATGATCTAACTGACTATTATTTTTGCATGACTAATGTATCTGGATATTCAGGCAAAATTGAACAATACGGTAAATATCCAGATATTGCAATGAAACCAGTACCTCATCAGGATGGTCTTTCAGAAAATTGGGAAATAGAATAGTTACCCTGTAAAGAAGAAATGAATCATCTTCATCTAGTAATTCTATTCCTTTGTCACCTCAACATAAACTGCCTCATCTGATCACACAAGAAGAGCTAAATGATCTGGTTTGTGACTTGTCTCGTCTCTATTAAAGCAGCATGGGGAACTTTTTGGCTCTAGTTTAAAGCAGTGAAATTTATTAGCTGCAGGAACAAGAGTTTCAATTTACCAAAGTCACCATCAAAATCTTGCTTCTCACTACAGCTTGCAAAATGCTTTGTGTTTCTGTACAAATGTTGATGTACTAATGGAAGAATTAGGTGCTAAACATCATCCTCAAAAATGGAGACTTTTTATCAATTCATCTAAAATTAGTTTGAAAGCTGTAGTTTTGCACAATAGGAATGCTAAGCCATTGATTCCTGTTGTTCGTTCCCTATACATGAAAATTACTTATAAAAGCATGCAGGTTATACATTCTTAAATGCAATTTTCAATGAATAAAGAGTTATTAAAGAAAAAATTATTTTCACAATATATAAGAATATTTTGAATAAATTTATCATAACTCAAAAATTGGAGATGATCAGTAATTTTCAACATGATTTTTAGAATCAGCATTGTCAAATTACAAAGAACCAGTTTAATTTTTTTCTTGTTGCCCAGTGTTATCAGCCTTTCATTACAGGTTGAAATGGATTCATCATAGATTACAAAAGCTTTTATATGACAAGCACTACTTTCATTAAAAGCAAACAGTTTGAATGGTTTTGAATTTTTAATTGTAAAAAGTAAATTGGCTATTAATGTTATTAGAAATAATGTTTTAATTTGTAATTATAACATATTATATAGGCTTTTAAGAAATATAAAACATTTGTTTAAAATTCTTTGTCTGCCTAAATGTAAAATCTGTTGGTTTAATTAGTTTTGTTTTAGAGTTATATAAGCCTTCAAGTTCTCTTTACAAGTCTCAAAGAGAAGCACAGTAGAGAATTAATAGTTCACACTGTCAAAGATAAGGTTATGAATTTTTCTGGTACTGGCTTTCATCAGACAGTGATTTTGTTTTAGATTGTAAATTTAAAATATTCATAAATTAAAAGCCTAGATATTATCTTTAAGTGTGCAGATAGCATCAACATTTTGATTAGATGGTGCCTGATCAGAATCTCATTTATTAGGTTATCTCTGGACTAAGAGAAGAAAGAATACTGTCATGTAATAATAATACACTTTGAAAATAAGATTTGCTGGCAATTTCTACATATTGACTACTGATTTTTTACATGTATAATAAGCTGATCTCAGTCTAATTTACCATAAACAAAATTGTGCTAAATTGTACAGAGACCAGTGAAAGTGCCATTGTGACTTATATTAAACAACTGTTTTGCATTTTCTTGATTATTGAGAATATGTAAAAGTATAGCCACTGGAGACTATAGGAACTTAAATGTAAAAAAGACTAAATTTCTTTTATTAATATTTAGTTATTTGTTGTTTTATTAATATAGAACATTACTTATTACAGTTTATTAAAATTATGACTCTCATTAAATAATTGTATTATTAACTTACAGGTTGTTAACACTGTGGTTTGACTATGGCCAATGGCCTGAAGTGTATGAAGCTTTAGTTGAAGGTCTTAAAACTGCACAGATAGACACATGGCTCCAAGTGAGTGTCTTGCCTTTGAAAAATACAAGAAAATGAATATGTAACAGTCAACAACACTCTTTGTTTAATAATTAATATTGAAGTAGATTTATGTAACTTTATTTAGCTTTCCCTTAAACTGTAAGTGTTCTACCTTATACTTTAGCTCTGTGATTTACTTCTCTAGAACAAAGGCAAAAACTTGCGTATATTATTTTCATTTTCATTCAAATACTGTATATTATCTGAATGTTTTTATCTATTTCCTTTTGGATAAGTTATGTCTGTTTAGCCTTAGAAGCACAGAGTTGGTTCATTGGACCAAGCCCATATTGAAGAATTAATGTAAACTACATATCTGAATTTATATAGTGTACTTTCACGAAATTTGGTAAGCTTTTAGTCAACATTACAATTACGTTGTACACAAAAAAGTCAAAAGTTTTAGTAAAGTATTTCTATTAAAAATTTGCCTCTGAATTTACTTTAGTATGTCTGACTCAGGCTCTGACTAATTTAAGTAGTGCAAGGTGATTTTCATGTTAAAAATAAAAGTATATTTTGTCATCTTAAAGTTTTCAAATTTTATGTTCATAACCTCTAGTCTCCTAAATAAATATCTAAAGGCTCTTTTCGTTTTGAGTAAAACTATATTTTATCTGCCTTTTTTTTCTACCCTAAAACTATATGACCTTGGTCCATTTGTCAACATTATAACCATCCCAATAAAATGTGAAATCTAAATTACTCTTTTTTTTTCTTTCTTTCTTTCTAAAACGATTGTAGATTGTAACAGAAAATTTAAATTATTTATCCTAAACAGCCTCAGGCTCATAACAGTTACATCCACATTTTATTTTATTGCTCTTTGAACCATGTCTAACTACTAAACCTGCATAAAAAAGCCAAAAATCATCCAAAGAGCATATAAAGTGACAGTGAACAAAGTATTGAATTACATGAATGCCTGACTGAGAAATTTTATTTATCTTTTATGAAGTTTCTGATTTTAGATTTTAGTTTCTTTTATAACAACAAATTAAACAATATACATAAAAGGCAAAAAATTTAGTAGTTATGTCTTGCCTCTTGTGTTTTTATTCTCAGCCTTGAAAAAACTTAGCCCTACTTTTTATCATAACTGATTTCCTAACCTAAGCTATAAGTGGATTAAAATACCCTTATCTGGTCGAGGTGACCTCGGCAATAGTAAATAAATGCAGAATAACTCAAAACCTATTGTAAGAATAAGAAAGCTTTGTATGGAAATCAATAAATTAAAATCTTAATTTCTTTTGGTTATGAATAATCAAATAGTGAATGTTAGTTTTATTGACATTTTTCTTTGAGAGACATATGTAACATATGGATTTCACTTTCTGGTTTACATCTCTGTTAACAAAGAAGATTGTAGGCTGTAAAACTAGATTGTAAGATCATGGATAAGCAATAACTACTATAAATATGTAATTTATATTAAACCCAAGACATCATATAGAGACAGTAAAAGTATGTAAAATGGGCAATTTGAAACAAGCAAGTGTAACGTAATATACAGAAGCGAAGCTTGAGATTTTATGTATGAAAATTTGATTTACTAACTATATTTTGCCAAGTTTTATGCACTTTGTATTGGAAACTTGCATGTGACTTGTAATGTTGTTATGCATGTATTGGAAACTTGCATGTGACTTGTAATGTTGTTATGCATGTATTAGAAACTGGCACGAGACTTGTAATGTTGTTATGCATGTATTGGAAACTGGCACGAGACTTGTAATGTTGTTATGCATGTATTGGAAACTGGCACGAGACTTGTAATGTTGTTATGCATGTATTGGAAACTGGCACAAGACTTGTAATGTTGTTATGCATGTATTGGAAACTGGCATGTGGTCTGTGATGTTGTTATGCATGTATTGGAAACTGGCACGAGACTTGTAATGTTGTTATGCATGTATTGGAAACTGGCATGTGGTCTGTGATGTTGTTATGCATGTATTGGAAACTGGCATGTGGTCTGTAATGTTATGCATGTTTTGGAAACTGGCATGTGGTCTGTAATGTTATGCATGTATTGGAAACTGGCATGTGGTCTGTAATGTTGTTATGCATGTATTGGAAACTGGAATGTGGTCTGTAATGTTGTTATTCATGTATTGGAAACTGGCGTGTGGTCTGTAATGTTATTCATGTATTGGAAACTGGCGTGTGGTCTGTAATGTTGTTATGCATGTATTGGAAACTGGCGTGTGGTCTGTAATGTTGTTATTCATGTATTGGAAACTGGCGTGTGGTCTGTAATGTTGTTATTCATGTATTGGAAACTGGCATGTGACTTGTAATGTTGTTATGCATGTATTGGAAACTGGAATGTGGTCTGTAATGTTGTTATTCATGTATTGGAAACTGGCATGTGACTTGTAATGTTGTTATGCATGTATTGGAAACTGGCCTGTAATGAATGGTGTAATTAAGATACCATCAGTTTGTAATAATAATGATATTACATTTTATTGTAAAAAGGATCATACTTTGTCAGCTTAAGGATTAAATATTATAGTACCAATGCATTTCTTATTTAATACTATCCATACTATTATTTAATTCACAGCTTTCACTATCCTTACATTCATATAAATTTTATATTTGTACTATAAAAGCTAACTTACATACTGCAATATTTTTTTCTATAAAAAGTAATAGAAACTTGAGTTAAGAGTAACATCTTTTCAAACTTAAATTAAACCTTTATAATTATAAGTCTGATGAAAACTCATACATCTTACTGTCAAGGGGAGCTGTTTATTTGTCAGAATATCATTTTTCTTTTTCACTCTTTCTTTTTCATCAGGTGATTCCTCAACTCATAGCTCGTATTGACACTCCTCGACATTTCGTGGGACGACTGATTCATCAACTGTTAACAGATATTGGAAAGTACCATCCCCAGGCTTTGATCTACCCACTCACTGTAGCCTCCAAATCCTCTGTACAGTCTCGTAGAGAAGCAGCCAACAAGGTTCTAGACAGTATGAGGGAGCACAGCTTTAAACTGGTCACACAGGCTATGATGGTAAGTGTACATTTAAATCTTAGTAATGAATGAACATGCAACAAATTACTAAACAAGCCATTGCCCAGTCAAGGGTTGAAAAATGGACTTCATTCAGTTAAAGTGCTGTTAACATGTATATATTCCAAGAACAACCTGTTAACTCCAAAAAGTAAAAGCCTAAATGTATCATTTCATGTCTCCCAGTTTTTACCCTCAGAAACTGAAACGGTTGAATCAAATTCATGAAACTTAGAACATTCTTTCTAAATAATGTTGTATATCTTTGTATTTATATCAATTTTTACCTTTACGTTATTAGCCTAAAGTATTGTAAATACATCCATTATATTATTTTATCACTGAAATGATAAATTTGTTATCTGATTTTATTTTAATAATACCATAAGTAGCTTACTTATGATCACTGAAGTACACAATGAAAAAAATATGAACAAAATAAGTAAAACCAGGATTTTTTTTGTTTGTTTGTTTATCGATTTGAAAATTCCATTTTACATATTCAGTTAGGTTTAACGTATTTTATACTCGGTGACTTGCCTATTTTAGTTATTTCTTTTGCTTTTTTTTTGTTTTTTTTCCACTGCTAAAGAACATCAATTCTCTTAACCAGTGATGATCTGTGATCGAATGCCATTGTACAATCCTTTAGACCATCATACTCGTCTACCCTAAGTATCCTTACCATAATTCTTGCTGTATAAAAATATTTTTTTGCTGTGAAACAGGAGTATGTAAAGAAATCCAGTATCAGCAACAAGAAAAATGTCACTAGAAAATATCAATAAAATCCCATTCCTCTAAATAGTTACGAGGAACTATTCCTAAACACACTTTGTGCAATGTTCAAATGTAATGTTTACTGAGCTACTTCAAAATATATAACATAATAAAAATGCATGATTCACAAGCTATTTACATTGTTTTGAAGCTTAGCTCCTTCCCTTTACAATGTATTTTTAGTTGAAGAGTATGCCTATTTCATAGCTGAGATGCACATCTCTTTGTTTAAATTCATAGCTCAGTTATAATACATCTAGAAGACTGAAATCACATCATTCTCATTTTAATTCACATTGATATAAACAAATGTAAGCTCTAGGAACTAACAGAAAAGAAAAAAAAACATAGTATAGGTTTCAGATTCCTACAGAACACTGCAAAGCAAAGCTTATAGACATTTTGTTTAATTTTGGTTTTAAGAAATGTTGATAACATTATATATTTTTTCCCATTCTTTCTTGGCAGGAGATGAACTAAAATAGATTAGAATTGTATTTTAAAATGTGTAATGGCGGATTTAGATTGCCATTATGTAACACTTATTGAAAGGAGCAATGGTTATTTATTTATTCTACAGCATCTTTAGAGGTATAAGCTCAGTAATAACTGACATTATTGTATTATTAATTATTTTAAAACTGTTGAACAGCCTGTCCCTTTGAAGCAAATATGAATAGATAAAATAGGTGTTCAATAAAATTTGTTGTTACTTATACTTTGTGATGTACCTTAATCACATTTATTGATCACTTCAGGTTAGTGAGGAGTTGATCCGTGTGGCCATCCTGTGGCACGAGCTGTGGCATGAAGGTCTAGAAGAAGCTTCCAGACTTTATTTTGGGGATCGTAATGTGAAAGGAATGTTTTCCACTTTGGAACCATTGCATGCTATGATGGAAAGAGGCCCTCAAACTCTAAAAGAAATATCCTTTAATCATGTGAGTTTTAAATTTTCATAAAATTTCAGATATATAATATTAAATACATATAAATGAATATTGGTAAATACTTTTCTAATAACACCTATATAAAACCAAAGTATAAAAAATATTTCCATCCTTAAATCTACCATTGTTAAGTCACCTTTTTAACTCCTAATAGATAACTAACATTAAGTAATATTATTGTCAGTTCCTGGTTCTCCTTGGCACAAATGCAGTTTGATGTTTATTGTTACTTATCTTCCTTGTAGACTCCTAAATAAAGAAGTTATCTAAAGAAGATTATTATTAATAATTTATCCTATCTTCATTACTTTGAATACAAATAAACCAAAGGAAAACATTGGTTAAAAATCTCTGTAATAAATCAAGGTTGTCTTACCTCAGCACCTTTATCAATGAAGTTTAGATACAGTTCCTGCAAGTGTGAGTTTTAATCTTTATATGAGGTTTAACTCTATTGGTTTTGTTAAGTGTGTGAGATTTTATAAGTTTGGGTAAATGGTTGTTCTATTGCTTGTTTGTTTCCAGCAATAAAATTAGTATAAATGTTGTGCAAAATGTACATTTAGTGAAATGTTCAAATGAGAATTATGGAATCAACTTGCAGTAGCAAACATAATGGTTTTTTTTTAGTGAAGTATTTATTATTTTGATATTGTGATTTTTTATTCTTTTTGCTGCTTTTCTTCAACCACTCAGCATAGGTCTTTAAAAACAAAGCAGGCAGTGAGAAACTAAAGATGTGAAGTTTAATTTTAGAAGCTGATTTCAGAAGTTATCAATACTGTTCTGGTCACTTGCATTTCAATAAACTCATAACCAGTTAAATCACAAACCATAAATAAAGCTTACAACAAAAAGTTTTTTAGTACTTGTAAAATTGGATTTTATCATTGAAAAGACTGACCAGAGGTTATATTTATTAAATTTTAAGACAATACATTTTTGATTGAAAATATGGAATAATTGCTATTATTAGTTTTCTCTGGCACAGTAAAGAACTAGTATGGTAGCTCTTCGTGTTGGTCAGTTACTATTCTGAATTATTTGCCATCAAAATATGAAGAGAGAAACATGATATAATCACTAGAAAATTATTAGTTGATAAGAATTTAGTAATTACACCAATATTGCTTAACTTGTTGGAGAAATTATGCATAGAATTTGTTTTCAAACATGGGAAAACTTTAATTTTAAGCCTGGAAAATTAAAACAATCACCTTTCTGCCCAGAAGTTTTCAGTCCATGGAAAGATTATTAAATTACATAAAGGAAACAACAGCATAATGTTTATTAGGAGAAAACAATATCAGGTGGTACTCAAACACTGACCTAAAGTCTATGTTTATTGTGTTTCTTGTATCAAGAAATAACATAGTATTACATGTTTCTGTTTAGATGTTTAGTATTAATCAGTGTAATGATGTATGTTAAGAGATATAAATTATTTCAATAAATAAATATGTATTAAGTGTTGACCTTTATATACACAAGTTATTTGCTAGAGTGAAGTTTGTATAATAATTTCTTCCTTGAATACTTGTACTGTCCCCATAATGAATCTAGTGTTTATGAAGTATTTAGATGGTGTCCTTAATCATATTGTTTGCTTACCTACTGTACTTGGGCAACTAACATGTTTGTGTAACAGCAAATAATAATGTGTTACTAAACAATAATTAACCAAATTCTCAGGAAAAGAAAACTTATAATTGAAGTTGAACTTACTAATAAGAATATGGTCACATTGTCTGAGAATTATTTACACTAGCTGATATAATGAATATTCAAGTTTGCTTTCCCTTATATTGCAATTGAATATCACAGTTTTGATCTCTTGTTTAGTTTATAAACAGAAGTAATTTGTGCAAATAATAGCAGCATACCGTTTTGTGTTTTAGAACAGAAATTCATTACTTACATATTACTCTCTTGTAATGTTGAACAAACTAGAGTTATAAAGTGATTTTTAGTTGTCTAATATTTTGAATAAGCAAAATGAAATAATTTAAAGAATCAGAATAAAATTGTTTGTATATTTTCTTTGGAAATTGATGAATAATATACACCCTAATTCCCAAATGTGAGTTTAGAAGTCATTTGTCTACTTGGCTGAATAATGCTTGTTTCAAAGTTATTTTACTGTAATCTGCTGTAATTATTGATATTTGTCATAAAATATTAATATACTGAAAAGTTTAGAAGATACTTATTTGTACATGTTGCTTAAACATGATGGACGTATTTCAAATTGATGAAGAGTTTCATCAATAACATAATTGTGCTTTCATTTCCTAGGATGTAAATTTTTTATCTCAATATGAATTTTGGAGTTAATCTGCAGACTCAAGAATGTTTGATGTCCAGTTTAAGTCTTCCTGACTGTTCACTCAAAAAAGCTTGGTGTACAGTTTAAGTCTTCCTGACTGTTCACTCAAAAAAGCTTGGTGTACAGTTTAAGTCTTCCTGACTGTTCACTCAAAAAAGCTTGGTGTACAGTTTAAGACATGCTGACTGTTTACTCAAGAGTACTTGGTATACAGTTTAAGACATGCTGACTGTTTACTCAAGAATACTTGGTATACAGTTTAAGACATGCTGACTGTTTACTCAAGAATACTTGGTATACAGTTTAAGACATGCTGACTGTTTACTCAAGAATACTTGGTATACAGTTTAAGACATGCTGACTGTTTACTCAAGAATACTTGGTATACAGTTTAAGACATGCTGACTGTTTACTCAAGAATACTTGGTATACAGTTTAAGACATGCTGACTGTTTACTCAAGAATACTTGGTATACAGTTTAAGACATGCTGACTGTTCATTCAAGAATACTTGGTATACAGTCAAGTCATACTGTCGGTTCACTCAAGAATACTTGGTATACAGTTTAAGGCATGCTGACTCTTCACATAAAAAGAAACTTGGTATACAGCTCAAATCATATTGATGGTTCACTTAAGAAAGCTTGGTATAGAGTTTAAGTAATACTGACTATTTCACCCAATGTGAAAACAAATTTAAATCAACTTAAGTTTTATCTAATGACTTAGTCTCAGAAATAAAAAGTAAAACTAAATACTCATCTTAAGTTAATTTCTCAAGAGCTTTAGAACTTTTTGTTCTTTGAATATTTTAAGAGTGTTTGTATTTCTTCTTCATAAACATTGAATAGATATTTGTAGTTTAGTCATTTTTAATACAAAAAAGAGAAGAACAATATAAGCTTGTTTCATCTATGAATGCATCATTTTTTTCTGTAAAATAGTTTTTTTTTCTCAACATCTGAACTATGCAGTAAAGTTAGATATTAAATTCTATGTTAACATTTTATTTTAAATATTGGATATTTGTGTGATAACCAGCTTTATTTAGAAATAATTAGTTGATCCTTATTACATGGTATGTAAAATTAAGAAACAAAAATATGCATGGTAAATTAAGTGTAAAGTATTGAATTTTATTACATAATAAATGATTTTGAATGAATTGTTTGAACAAGACATTAAAACTAAGAATTTAGAGGAAGTTTACAAACACTAAGATTAGTGTCAAACTTTTATATTTACATGGACATTATAGTTGCTTAATTACTATTGAAAATCCTTAATTTCAAATTTTGAAGGTAGCAGTTTATACATGTGTGTGTGTGTTTTATCTTCAACTCAGGCTTATGGACGAGAGCTTATGGAAGCAAATGAATGGTGTCGTCGATACCAGAGATCAAACAATGTGAAAGACCTGACACAGGCTTGGGACTTGTATTATCATGTTTTTAGACGTATTTCTAAGCAACTCCCACAGGTAAGTCTTTTTTTATTATCATTAAACAAGTAACAGAGTAATTCTAATATCCTGATATTAACAGGATTTTATTGATTTTGATAATTGTTATGTAAAAAGGTTATTAATTATTTAACCTTTCACATGTCTGTGTTCTATTCCACTAAAGATGTGCTATATGTATACAAGAGTAGTTTGGTATGACTGGAGGATTATGTTTATGCACTCTGAAAGATGTTATTATAT